CTCTCAGTTAACTTCCAGATGTCGACTACCAGAAGTTGACTCCCTCCGGAAAGATGGATAGGCGCATCAGGATCTATTGACGATTGAGGATGACCCTGTCGACTCGAGTTGGTATCCCGAGTCGACTTAGGATATCTCAAGGCTCATAGATCTCCGACGACTCTGGTGTACATCAATATCATAAGGAAGCTATTAAGGATAAGAAGGAATCTTGATGCTGACTAGGAGATGGACGGAATGCGAACCGACCAGGGTATTTTGGACATTTCCAGTAAGTCGGCCGGGGCATTTTGGGAACTTCAGGTAAACGTTTTGCTTCTATATAAAGGAATTGAGGTAACCCCAAAACCCGAACTCTCATTCATTCCATATTCTCCTCCATAGTTGCTGCACCTTGAGAGCAACTCTCTTCATCTCTCCCTCTCATACTGACTTGAGCGTCGGAGGCTCTACGCCGGAAACCCCTCGGCGTTGAGTTTTTGCAGGTATTCTCGCGGCCTAGAAATAGTTCGAAAGCTATTTAGACAGATCTGAGGTCGTTTTCATTGGTTCATTTCAGATCTGAGCTTGTCTCTACTGATTTGCTCCAGATCTGAGAGTAGACCCATCATTTTAGGCGCATCAGGATCTACTGACAATTGAGAATGACCCTGTCGACTCGAGTTGGTATCCCGAGTCGACTTAGGATATCTCGAGGCTCATAGATCTCCGACGACTCTGGTGTACTTCAACATATTATAAGGAAGCTATTAAGGATAAGAAGGAATCTAGATGCTGACTAGGAGATGGACGGAATGCGAACCGACCAGGGTATTTTGGACATTTCCACTAAGTCGGCCGGGACATTTTGGGAACTTCAGGTAAACGTTTTGCTTCTATATAAAGGAATTAAGGTAACCCCAAAACCCTAACTCTCATTCATTCCATATTCTCCTCCATAGTTGCTGCTTCTTGAGAGCAGCTCTCTTCATCTCTCTCCCTCTCATACTGACTTGAGCATCGGAGGCTCTACGCCGGAAACCCCTCCGGCGTTGAGTTTTTGCAGGTATTCTCGCGGCCTAGCAACGGTTCGAAGACAATTTAGACAGATCTGAGCTTGTTTCTATCGGTTCATTTCAGACCTGAGCTTGTCTCCACCGGTTTGCTCCAGATCTGAGAGTAGACCCATCATTTTGGCACCATCTGTGGGTAAACCATGTAGCCTTTCATTGGTATGATTTAAGTATGTATGTAAACCATGTAGCCTATCGGCGTGAGCCGATTCGGCCATCGGTATGGTTGTCCCCGTCGATGTAATACGGTTACCTTGCGAGGTAAGTCTCCGTAAGACCTAATGAAAGGCCGGGTCTTGTTGTATGGCACGTACCCTCATGAGTTCGGGTAATGAATCCCCGTTCCTTGGCTAATGAAAGATGTGTACACGTGGGTAATATGTTGTGATGTGATTGGGAGACGTGACATGATAATTGATTTATGTTCATACTGTAACCATACATTCTCTACATTATTTATGATTGTGATATATGTGCATAGTGGTGAGCACGTTTTTCATCTTGTGCTCATCCCCACCTGCTCTTCACCGATTCAGGTTAAGCAGGAGCAGGGTGACGAGGAGAGGCGAGTGGGTCAGTCATTTAGTTATGCATTTTACGCTTCCGTTAGAATAAATAAGGCTTAATGAACCTTTTATGTTGAGACTTGTTTAAACCTTTTTCCAAAACGTATGATTTGTTTTGAGTTTGGGAAACTTATGGAACCCTTGTTGTTGGGTTATGATGTTTTGGGTTGAATGTTCATGTTGAGTATTATGTCTCGTGATATGCTTTGGTTAATGAAAACCATTGTGAAAACCGGGTAATGAATCCCCGTAGGCCCAGATAAGACTTGGGTTATGAAAATGTTGTTTAACACCCATTAAATTTCGAAAATGATCTCGAAAATTTTGTAATGATTTTTGGAATGTCCGAAATTTCTGTAAATCAAAGTGGGGTGTTACATTGCCTCATTTTAAATGTGGGGGAGTCTACTTGGATTTTGCATGCTTATGTGGTGGATCGGTTTAGTTTTAGGATTTTGTTGTGTTTTTTGTTTAGCTTGGACTATGGTGTATGACAAGATTGGTTAATGACTGTCGATTGAGTTGAGTAGTTGTGATGATGGTCATTGATTATATGTTTTGATGAAATGCTTGGTTGATGTGTTTGACGACAGTGCACCAAGTGAGGTTTTGAGCCTTTTTTCTTATTCTTGAGAGTTGGTCGAATTATTGTATTACTGAAACTTGCCTTGAGTCTATTTTGAAGTAAATTGATTAGAGTCTTGAGCTGTAGAAATGATTGAAGCATCTTTTTGTTTAGCTCATTTTACCCTGTCCTTGTCCTTGATATATATATATCTCCGCTAGTAGCCGTTTGAGCCTTGGACTGATTTTCTTGTTTATCCTATTAATTTGTTGTCGACGGCCTGTTATGAGATTCATAAGTATGACAGAGTTATTTATTTTATGATTGAATGGGGAGTGTAGCATACTACTTAATAAAAAAATCAAAATAAATAAATAAATAAATAAATAAATAAAAGGGAGCTCGCAAGACGAACTAAGAGGATTCTACTCCTCTTACTTGTTCATGCGAATGGACGAGTAATGAGTAATGGAAACTACTCTTGGACACTTGGCTAACCTCCAAAGTCTAAACCAAGAGAATGTTGTCCTTAAAGTTCGACCTTGTCTGGAAAAACAAACTCCAATTAAGAAAAAAGAGAATAAAAAAAGAAAAGAAAAAAAAAAAAGAGAAAACAAAAAAATATATAAAATAAAAGGATCAAGTGTGTGTAGTGCACTATGATTTGAGCTTGTGCTTGTGGTGTATGGAGACTTTTGGTGAAGGAAGTAGTAATATGTTGATTATATTGAGTGGCATGACTCTTTCAGATTATTTATTATAGCCGTTTGACAATTTTAGATTCCTCTTTTTACCTTGAGCCTACACTACAACCCGTCAAGTCCTTTTGATCTCCTAGTTCATGATTTTGATTATTTTATAGTAGGAATTAGACAATAGGCAAGGCTCAGTGAAACTTGAATTTCGACGAAGTAGAGCGTACCTCGTTATATTCATGAAAGAAATATAGTGAGGCTCATCCCTATATTCCATTGTCGAGAGATTTGTCGTTCAAACTGTTTTAACTGAGTATGTAGTTGAAGCATGTGGTTTGTGGCCGTTTGAATGCTTTTCGATTTAATTGAGTATTTTGAGTCCTTTCTTGTTTGTCAGCGCTATCCATGCTTGATCTTTGCGTCTTTTATTTTCTCTTTGTTCGGGACGAACAAAGGTTTTAGTGTGGGGGAGTTGTTTGTCCCATTTTTTTGTGTGTTTCGTTGTCTTTTTGCCGTTCTTTTTTCCCCCGTATTGAGTCGTTTAGGTGGTTTTAGGATCTTTTGTCATTTATTATGTGTTTTGCGTTCATTTGAGTGTTGCGGTATTTTCCGTTTGTTTTTCGGTCTTTTTCTGTTCTCTTTTCGTTTTTGGTGTGTAGATTAAAGATCCCGGGAGAACAGGTTTTCGAGAATCTTTAGGGGAAGCTAACACCATCAGAAAGAGGGTCTCGTAAGCGATGCATAGAAAAAATGGAATTGAATTCC